TCCTCTTTCTGGGCTCATTCACGCTCTCAATAGTTACCAGGTTATGCTCCCTAATAACAACCACTCTGAATGGACCCTCGTACCGTAGCAATTGTTTCCCTCTGTTGGTTCCCAATTTCCGGTAAACTATTGTTCCTATTTTTAGTTCCCCCATTTGGTCGCGTACCTGTACATTCTGCCTTTCCACCCGCTTCTGCTTTTCCCGCTTAATTCTCGCCGTTATCTTTCCCCATGTTTTCTCTACCTCTACCCTATTGCTGAGAATTTGATCCACTAACGGTTCGGTAAGCGTAGTTTCCCCATAATCCCGCCTTGGCCTGCGCATCCCGAATAGAACTTCCATGGGTGAAAACCCCGTTACGGAGTGGATCGAGTGGTTATAGGCTGTTACCGCTTTCCTCATTGCCACATCCGGCTCCAACCCTTTTTCACCCTGATATACACGGACGTGGTCGCTTAACGTACTGTGCAGCCGTTCAATACCGCCTCTACCTTTAGGATGTCCTGGGGTGTTATAATGCCACGCAATTTCCAATCGCTTCACCTCCTCCCTAATCGCGGCATTGTCGAACTCCCTACCACCGTCCGAAGTAATCCTCTCGGGGACCCCATAGAACTGCACCCAGGTTTGTAGGGCTTCCGCAACTGCATTGGCTGACTTCTCCATCACTTGGTATGCCATCGCCACCTTGCTGAATATGTCGATTACCGTGACCCACTTAAACCCTTTCCAGGTAAACGTGTCAATCTGAAGGTCCTGTAGCGGCATATTCCCTGTAGGTGTCTCCTCCTGAACTCCTCTGGGGGGGTGTCGATCGTATTTTGTGCGCATGCATATCTCGCATTTCCCAATGACTTCCTGGATGGACCTCTTCATGCCCCACCAGAAATACTTCCGACGCAATGCCTGCAGCGTCTCATTAACGCCTCGGTGATTGGTTTTCCCCTGGTGATATGCTACTGTGATTGCTTGCTGCTGCTCTTCGTCCTGTACCGTCTCCACAGCATACTTGCACCGGATGAATGTCCTGTCCACGCCTATTCGCTCGGACCTCCACATTCGCTTGATCTTATCCCATACCGTATTGTTTCCCACGTATAGGTAGTGCGTTTTACCCGCTTCCGAGGCATCCCTCAGTGCCGTACAGATTTGTTCTTCGCTGACCCCGGGCTGCGACCAAATGACGCGGATCCTACTTCTCCCGTACCTTCTGAAATCGATCTTCATGATTCCGGTTGTTCGTGTCTTCCAAATCACCTGACGGTGTTTGTCGTTCACGATCTCCTCTATTTCTTCCATCTCCGCTGCCCTTTCTTCCGCTGAGCTCTCCTCTTCTGGGGAATCTCCCCTGTCCTCAATCCCTGCGGTGTCATTTGCCCCTTCGCCATCGGGAGTCCATTCCCTCAAGAATTGACGCACGTCCTGCGATGGTCCTCCCCTGTCCTCTTCAACCGCGTTGATCATGATGGCCCTCGAGAGCCAGTCTGCCACCACGTTTTCCTTTCCCGGCTTATACACCACCTCTATGTTGTATTGGCTTAGGATCTCCTTCCATCTTGTGACCCTAGCTGAGGTTTCCTTGAGTTTTCCTACCCACTGGAGGGGTTTGTGGTCGGTATGGACTCGAAATTTTCTCCCGAATACGTATGGCCTGAAATGGTCGATAGCCCATACTATCGCGAGTAGCTCCCTCTCCAAAGCGCTGTACCTTGATTCCGCACCCGTAAGCCGACGGCTCGCGTATGCTATCGGTCGTTCACCCTCACTCCCCCCCTGGGACAAAACGGCCCCTAGCGCGTATTCACTCGCATCAGTGGTTATATTAAAAAGCTTCTCGAAATCCGGGAACGCTAACACCGGCTCCGTCAGCAACCTATTCATACATTTTCGAATGTTATTCTCCATCTCTGGTGTCACCACAATCTTCGCGCCTTTCTTCAACAAATTGTTAATGGGTACCAAATACTCTGCCATCTCGGGTACGAATCTCCGGTAATAATTCAGCGTCCCGAGAAGCCTACGAATCCCCTTGACGTCCCGTGGTACCGCCATCCGCGTGATTGCCTCCACCTTTGCCGCATCCGGTCTGACCCCCTCGCTAGAGATAGTGTGGCCTAAAAAATTGATCCGCGTTTGTCCCAGCAGAGACTTCTCGCTTGACAATTTCAGCCCGAATTGCCGGAGCCTTTCGAATACTGCCCTCAGATGTCCCACGTGCTCGGTTTCCGTTCTGCTAAAAATCAGCAGGTCATCCATGTATACCTGGCATACCGAGTCATCGATGCCCCTCAAAAATTCGTCCATCAGACGCTGAAATGTTATGGGCGCATTCTTCAGACCAAACGGCATTCTGGTGAATTCATAATGCCCCCTTTCAAATGTGAACGCTGTTTTGTGTTGGTCTTCCGGGTGCATCCGTATTTGGTGGTATCCCGCCTTGAGGTCCAGCGTGCTAAAGACCACGGCCCCACTCAACCTATCGAGTATATCCTCGAATCTCGGGATCGGGTACTTCTCGTCTACCGTGTTATCGTTCAATTTACGATAGTCTACTACCACCCTGTATTTTTCCTTATTATCCCCCGGCGCTGCCTTCTTTTTCACCGCCCACAGGGGACTATTGAATGGTGAGGTGCTATCAACTATGATTCCCTGTTCTTTTAGACTATCTAGCTCCTCCCGAATATGCTGTCTCAACGCCTGCGGGTATCTTCTCTCTTTCACGTAAGTTACCCTCTCCTGTTTCAGTGGGATTTCGTGCACCGTCCTCCCTGTTACCCCTAATACCTCACCTTCCCTGAAGAAGATATCCCTAAACTCCTCTTGTAGCAACTTCCTCCAGTCCTCCACTCTGTCCACCGCTCCTATCCGCACCCTTCTTTCTCTCGCGACCCCTATACATCCGAACTTCCTCTTTCCTAACCTAACGCTCCAGACTCCTCTACGATTTCTAATGCTCGCCCCTACCTGACCTAACAAATCGCACCCTACTATGACTTGGTATTCCCGAGTCATGTTCTCCACCACATGCACCGTTAGCTCACCCTCTTTCCCTGTCCACCGATCAAGCCCAATTGTCGCCTCACCCTCTACACTACAGGGACCACCCAGAGTGATCAGCTGGCAGTCACATTTCTGTATCCGGAGTACCCTCTCGCTCCCGCACCCTTTTCCTAACGCCCTTCGAGTCATAATAGTGCTCGAGCTACCCGTGTCCACAAGACACTTTACTCCCCCGTCTACTTCGATAATTGGCAACCAGCATGGCTTACCTCGGATGTTGTTGCATATTGCTGTGCGGTCGCCTCTCTGCCGACACACTCCTCAGATGTCGTCCCGCTTCCTCCTTTCTGCCGCCGCTCGTCGCTGCTCACTCCGTTGGCTGCGCCTACCTCCTTCACCTCCGCTGCTGCCTGGTTCGTCCGTCTCCGTTCCCGACGCTCCTGACTCCTCGGTTGCCTCCTCCGAAGATCCGTCCCGCTGATGTACCCTGGCTCGTCTTTTCATCCTCTGCACATTCACCTCCATGGGTTCGTCCTGAGGTCTCTCCCTCCTGTGAAATATGTATGGGCACTGCCTTGCTATGTGCCCTTCCGTCCCGCACTCGAAGCATCTGGTGCGCGGACATTGCGCTACTAAATGTCCCGGCTTCCCACACCCGTGACATTTTCTCTCTTCCCTCCGGGGCCCATTCCTCGGCCTCGACGACTGTCCCGATCTTCTTTCCCTCGTCGGGGCTTTTTCTCCACTCGGCTGCCTTGTGTCCCTCTTCTTCCAACCTGTCGGGGCTGTCCATGGTCGTCTATCCGTCACTCGGGTCCAACCCGGTTCTTCCACATCCATCCGTGTCTCCTCCTCTCTGGCACTTAGGTCGATCATCTCCTGGGCGCATTCGAGGAACGATCGCTCTCTGGGCAGTCCGTCCCTCTTCCCCGTTTCTTTAGCCAGCTGGACTTTCAATATTGTCGACAGAAACTCCATCCTGGCTTCGACCTCTCCCACGCTCATTGTTTCCCGCATCTTCTCGGTTATGCGATTGTACTTCGCCACGAGTACTCCCGCATATTGCCCCCTTGACTGTCGTTGGGCCCGCCGCTCCCTAAACATTTGGAATATGTCCTCTTCCGGTGTCCACCTACCTCCTCCAAAAGCCTTCTTCAGCCGCTCCTTAATCACCGGCCACGGAGTCTCCTCGTCCGCTTGGATCTGGTTCAGGACGTTCCTCCTTACTCGGCACACAAGAGCTGCTTTTAGTTCTTCCGCGTCCCCTAGGTTCACCAGGTCCTCCGCCACCTTCACCTCGATTCTTGACATAAGACGATCTCCGCCTTTCAAGAAATGGTTGAGCTCGCCTACCTCGCCTCCGAATCGTTCTAGGTCCGCAATGGCCCTCCGTAAGTCCTGCGTGGTTGTTGCTCTTATTTTCATCCATTCCAAGGCATTGGCGTGTGCTTCTGCCAACGTGTCCCTTGGTAATGGAGGGATCTCCTGGATCTGAGGGATCTGTGCTACCTGAGGGACTTGAGGTATCTGAGGTACCTGAGGCGCGATCTGGGGTACCTGATTGATCTGTGGAATCTCCTGAGGTTGAGGAATTTCCGGTACGCTTAGTACTCCCGGTCTAATCAATCCTTCTGTCGGCATTTCACCTTTTCCTTAAACACCAAACAAAAAAAAAATATCTACTAAAAAAAAATTACTTCCCTGACGTTGTCCCGGGTTTCGGCACCAGTTAAGCGTCGTCGGACTTAAGAAATAAAAAAAAAGAAGGAAAAGGGAAAAGATGTAACATACACGACTTCTGAAATAACACTGCTTTATTCGTTCCATAAGCCTCCTTATATACACTTAGCCTGTTTATTTACATTACCAGATAGTATTAAGGCTGATACCGCCAGTCTCCGGTCTTTATCTTATATATATATATATATATATATGTATATATATATATATATATTTGTATATAAACACAAACAAATATCTTCATACGTTTACTCACCTCGGTAGCAAACTGCTGAAGACCACTAATGTTTATGGCTCCTTCTTCGGTCGCTTCTAGATTACAACCGCCAGCGCAGAGATCACTAGTAGGGCAGACCATACCACAAGAGAGACCCAATGGATTGTCCGAAAATATCATTTTAGCCGCTCCATAGTAATTCTAAACATTTTAAGACACTTTCTTTGTCTATTTAGAACTAAACTAAATATTTTGTTATAGTTATAATTATAAAAGAACATGACACATATCTATTTATTGATTGGAGTCGTTATGTCCTACTTCCTATTATGTTATAGATAGATAGATAGAAAATAATTTTATTCTGGTACACATTCCCTTGAGAATAACAAAATAGAACAAAATTAAAAGATAACATCTTCCCGAAATAAAATCGATAGAAACAGAAATAATGTAAAGAAAATATATGGTAAACATTCTAAAACACTCCCCCTCTCCTGTGGTGTCCCTCCAGATTCCTCTCAATCTCCAACTCTGCTATTTATATTAATGACCTTCCCCTCCTGATCCATAACTCCGAATCATATATCCAACATCTCCCTCCGTACCATTTCGACCTTAAAACGTCTGAATTACTCCGATCACCTATTTCCCTTTGAAACCCGTAGGCTCCTAGTAACTTTCTTAATTTTTTCCCACTTTGACTATTGCTGTACGGTATATGGGGGCCTTTCTGGGGATCTCGAGACAAAATTAAAACGTTTGATAAATTGCTTTGTACGATTCATCTCCGGGATCCCAAGGGACGCCTCTATTTCTCATTGTTATGCGGAGTTGAAGTGTCTTTATCCTTCCTACCGTCGTAAGTGTTCCCTGGCATCCTTCCTTTCAAGTCATCCAATCCCATCGTCCTTCATACATCTCCGAGCTCCTTCAATTCAAATCCTCTGTTCTTTCCCGCAATACTCGTTACCGGTCTTCTGATTACATAACTACCAACAGAACCGCTGCTTTCGACAAAAATAGATCGTTCATTATCCGATCCTCATCCCTATGGAACTCCATCCCTCCCGACACCGGTCAATCCAAAACTCTTCCTACCTTTAGAACCCGTCTATGTGCTAGATTATAATATACCACAGTTATCTCGTCTCTTAGATATATTCACTTTTTCTTGGGAAATTAGTGTTATTTTTTAATTAAATTGTGACTATACGAGAGCTAAACATCTGGACTATAATATACACTAATGCCACAGTGAGTACAGATGTTATTTATTGTGTACAATCGTGTGAAGTGAAACCGGTGTATAGAGTCCAGTTCCCTTATCTCACAGCCATAAGTACATAGCCAAGTATAGTCAGTTGGGCTTGGAGCCTTAACGGGAGAGATCCTTTTGCGACGCTGAGACAAAATCAAGGTCACGCAGCGTGTTTTAAAAAAAAATTTATTTCTTTTTTTTTTTAATTTTTTTCTCTTTCTTTGCTTTATATCGATGTATTATTTGATTCTACCATCAACTCATGTCTTCTAAGGGTGCAATAACGAGGTCTCGCTCTGCCGAATCAACACCACGTTCGTTACCTGCGAAAAAAAAGTCACCAATCGAAAATAACGACGCCACTTTTTTTTTTTTTTGTCTTTCCCTTCCTTGCCGTTAAAGCTATACGGGGTTTTCCCGGGCCAGGGGGTGTGAGCAGGGATTTAAAAGACTCCCTCGGCACCGGGACGCGAACTCGTGTCTATTTTTATATATTTGATTCATTTATCAGGTTGCCGGGCAACGGCGGTGCAGTGCACACGCGTTAGACCATTCGGCCACCCCGCCCACTATAGCGACGCCACCTGCGACTCCACCTAAAGTAGCAGAAGACACTCAATCTCAGCCCGGATCATCTAAGGACACGATAGATGAGTCTCCCTTTTTCGCGCCGAATCCTTACGAAGTACTGCAAAATGAAAAAGAGGCGATGGAATCTGCATCCATTCCTAGAAACCCTCGACCCCCTCCAATTTGCGTTAAAAATTTAAAAAATATCCCGTTATTATGCACACATTTAAACAAAATTACAACTCCTGGTAGCTACTCCTGTTTAAGCCGGACTAATGATATTAAAATATCACCAGCCAAAGCTGATTCATACCGCCAAATTATAAAATATCTATCCGACACAAAGGCAGATTTTCACACCTACCAATTGAGGCAAGAGCGTTCCCTGAGGGTAGTAATCCGGAATTTCCACCCCTCTACTCCAGCCGAGGCGATCCAAGAAGAACTGACGGCCCTAGGCTTCAATTCACCAATGTAATGAAGGACGACAGAGATGTATCCGGCGCTAATAGAAAAATACCATTACCCATATTTTTTATAGATTTAGAACCCTCAGCAGGAGTTTATAAAATATATAAAAGTAGGAGATTATATTATACTAGTGTTAAGATTGAAAAACCATACACTAAAAGAGAAATCGTCCAGTGTCATAATTGCCATGCATATGGCCACACCAAAACTTACTGCCACCACATTCCAATGCGGAGAGTCCCACAAGACTAGTGAATGTAATAAACTGAAATCTACTCCCGCTGTATGTGCTTTTGCCTGGAAGAACATCCTGCCAACTACAAGGGCTGCCAAGTCTACAAAAATATCAAAAATAAATTTCGCAAACCCGGGAACCAAGAAGAAATCTCTAAGCACAGAACAGGACCTGCTAAAATAGTAGACTCTAAAGTTTCTTTTTCCCAGTTACTAGGGGGCAGAGCCCCGACTGACAAATGGGAAGCCCTGCCGCAACAGGAACCCCAATCCCAACTTCAACAACCTATCCCTCCGAAAGTACAAAACCCTCAACAACCTCATCAACATCACATTCCTCATATTCCTCCTCCATCAAAAGCCACAGACCTTACTAGTTTGTGGGCATCTTTTCTCATTGAATTCAAATCCCTTGTTACCCCACTGATATATATCTCTCCTTACAAATCTAGTATCCCACCTCATCCCTCCCTTAAAAAATCCTTACATGATTTCCTCCAAACACTTATCCATTCCCCTTTGGAATACGAATGGTGTTAGAAATCACACTGACGAACTGACAGCTCTACTACTAGACAAGAACATTGATGTAGCCCTTATTACGGAAACTCGACTAACCAAAAACCAAACTTTAAAAATACCACAATACTCCACATACCGTACTGATCATGCTGACGGTAGAGCACATGTCGGCACTGCAGTCATTGTAAACCAATCCCTGTCTCACCCCCTACTCCCATTACCTACCCATGATTTCTTGCAATCCACAGCTATCATAATCAAAACCTTCTCCTTTCCTATTACCCTTGCATCACAGTATTGCCCTCCAAACCAATCCATCTCTAATACTCAATTCAGTTCCCTCCTCAATTCCTTAGGACACCATTTCATCCTGGGTGCAGACTTAAACGCCAAGCCAACAATGGGGCTCAAGAACCACAAATTCTCGCGGACGAACACTGCTGTCTGCACTCAATTCCCAAGGTTTTAACCTAGTTCCCCCGACCTCAACTACCTACTGGCCCGTTGATCCTAACAGAAATCCCAATATCCTTGATTTCTTCATCCACAGTGGTTTAGGTTCTCTCAACTATTCCATTGCACGCCTCGATGAACTTTCCTCAGACCACAGTCCATTAATATTCCAAGTATCACTAGCTCCTATTCCTAAACCCTCTCCACCGTCCTTTATGAGAGGTCCAGTCAACTGGAAACTCTTCCATCAAATCCTTTCCGAACAAATTGGCCTCAGAATATTCCTGAAAATCCCAGAAGATCTTGGTAATGCCGTACACTCCTTTACCAACACCATTCAACAAGTATTATGGACTGCTTCCTCCCCTAATAATTCCACAATAATTCCTAAGAAAAATAAGTCAACTCAACACATCCTCGAGTTAATCCAAACCAAACGCCGTACCAGAGTGTTATGGCAACGCACCAGACATCCCACAGATCGCCGTTCCTATAATTATTACTCTGAAAAAGTCAAGCAAGAATTATCCAACTTCTAATCCAAATCCTTTAACTGATACCTTACCTCCCTCTCCGCTCACGACAATTGCTTTTGGAATATCACCAAAAAAATTCTAAAATCCCAAAATATTTCCCATCCCCTCCGTCGAGGCGATGGCTCCTGGGCGGCGTCTGATGAAGACAAAGCTGAGGAATTCGCCAAACACCTCTCCTGTACATTTACTCCTCACCCTGAATCCCATTCCATCCATACTACAAAAATAGATAAATTCCTCTCCTCACCAATTCCACTTTCCCTACCACCAAAAACAGTTCATCCTTCTGAGGTCAAATATCATTTTAAAAAAATTATCTTCCCGCAAATCTCCTGGATATGACCTTCTAACCCCACAGATCCTTCATCAACTACCACCCAAAGCGATCATATTCCTCACATTTATATACAACTGCATCCTAAGAACTACCCATCTTCCTCTCTTATGTGAATGTTCCACAATCGTCCTTTTCCTGAAACCAGCCAAACCTTCCAATATCTCATCATTCTATATACCAATCAGCCTACTCCCAATCCTTTCAAAAATATTCGAAAAAATCCGATTAAAAAGAATCCTACCCATAATAGAATCACAAAACCTTCCTACCCGTCATTTCGGATTTCGTTTCCAGCATTCCACCGTTCAACAAGGACTCCGAATTGTTGACCACATATCTCAGCCTTAGAAAGCAAAGAGTATTGCTCGGGAGCATTCCTGGACATTGAGCAAGCTTCCGACCGCGTATGGCACACCGGACTACTCTTCAAGCTCAAAACCCACCTATCCCAGTCCTTATATCTAATACTCCGATCCTGCCTCTCTGACCGCTCCTTTCGAGTCCAGAATTCTCCAACTGCCTTTCAATTGAGGCGGGATTTCCTCAAAGCAGTATTCCCGTTCTTTACATTCTGTTTACCGCTGATATTCCTACTCATCCGAAACCCTCCTGGCAACATTCGCTAATGACACAGCTATCCTATCTTCCAATCCAGATCCTAAAAAAACATCCTCAAACCAACAAAGTCACCTTTCTCTGATGAATTCAAATCCAAACACATCACTTTTACCCTTCGGCGCAAGTCCTGTCCACCAGTCTTCACCTTCATATCCCATTTGTTATTGATCTAATCCCAGACAAATTTTCCAAATTTCAC